TTTTCACTTTTCCTCTCCCCCCTCTCCCCCTCTTCCCCCACCTGCCGCCTTGACCTATCTCCCTCTTTTCAATGAAAATGGCAGTCTATACAAGCGGGCCTGGTACACCCATCAACTGTTTGAAATAGAAGCCCGAGTTCGAACCCAGATGGAATCAGATAAATGAAATGAAGTAATTCTGAATTACCGGCTGGGGCTTGAAAAAAAAAAAAAACGGTTTTCAATCTATCATATACCGCTCTGTTCCAGTTGATAGCCTCGGGTCCAGAAGGAGTGAATCTCGACGGATAAATGAATAAGAGGCCGAGGGGATGCCAAAGGTTGGAGCCATGAATGGGGTGGATTCATGTTTCCAAATCTTCAGGTGAATGACTGAATTTTGAAAGCGATTAGATGGAAGAAATTATTCGAAAAGGGAAAAAGGAGGAAGAAATTATTCTGTCAGTACAACTTCTTCTGTGTCTTATTTTGGAGGATGGACTTTTCGAGGCATCCGTGAAAAATTAAAAGTGAAAAAGAAAAAAATGGAAGTTGTAACGATGCAGAGAAGGATTATTAGCATGACGTCCTTGGGCCAAGTCGCACTAGCAGCGTTGAGTTTCCTCAACGCCGGAATCTGGACGCGTTTGTGGAGAGGTGCAGTTGAGGAAACTCGTTCCCATTTTTGCACATCTCCACAAACACGTCCAGATTCGGGCGTTGAGGAAAACGCTGCTACCGGTAGTGGGACTTGGTTCCTGCAAAATCAAGGATGACACGCATGAATCGAGAAATGGTCCGAAATCTAAAAATAAATATTTATTTTTGGAGGGTATATGTACTATTGTGCAGATGTGATTGTATATCTAGATATATATGATATATTTTGTATATATATATAGCGTCAAACAGAGCTGCCCCCCACAAACAAAAAACAGAAAACTAAACAGAGCTGCCCGGTAAACCGTACTAGGCAGAGAGGGAGGGAGAAGAGGACAACAAACGAGGGGCTGTGACAAACTTTTTCGTCGGAGTTTCACTGACTCATCAGGAGGCTATATATTTATAGGCTTGTATTTAGGCAGCATACTTGGGTGTGCGAAGTGTCTATCGTCCTGCCGCCGAAGGCAGTGCACCCTGATAATGAATGTATACAAGCGTTATTCGCGGTCAGATACAGTCATGGTGAGGGTGCCTTGTGTTCGGGGGAAGACGCTTATTTAGTATGTCAGTTACTCGTATTTCTCTCTCTCTCTCTCTCTCTCTCTCTCTCTCTCTCTCTCTCTCTCTCTCTCTCTCTCTCTCTCGGTCGCTCGCACGCGCGCGCGCGCTTGCCCGCCCTTCTTGGTTCCCTTGTCTCACTACCTGAACTAGCGACTCACTCAGGGCATGCTCACACTTGAATTTTTGGACATGCATCTGACCACAATTGCAGCCAGATTCAACGGAAAGAGTCCTCGTGCGAGGGTGGCCTTAGCGCATGATTGCCATCTTCCTCATTATTGTTATCATCGTCGTAGTGTGCAGGATATAGGAGCGACGTCAACGCTTTGTTTGTTGTCCCATCGCGTTATTTTTTGAATAGTTAAAACGGTATTGGTGCTTATTTTGACCCCTCTCAAGAAGAAAAAGCAACAACGAAAGAAAAGAAAGGTTCGGAAAAGTAGGTGCTTCGCCTTCACCTCTTTACCGAATGCGCCGCATCTTTGGTGCTTCGTTGACTTTGAGCCTTGTTCAATTACACAACGTTTTACATATCTGGAGCGCATTTAAAAAAAAATACATTCGGACTGACCGATCATCTTGAATGTATGCGGACTGACCGACCATCTCGAAACGCCCCCTGATGAGGTCGCTACTGGCGGCGACCGAAACTAGTCGGCGATGCCAGCTCCTCGGGTATTATGACTGAAGTGCCATAGCGAACGCTATGGGATGTGCTTCATTGTTATTTATCGGATATTTCGAGATCTTTTTCACATGATTCAGCTGCAATTTGCGGCTATGTGTTGGGCTATGCGTCGGTATTTACTGACTCTGCTATTTCTAATACTATTGAATGTATTGGGCTGACCTGCAGCAGATGCATTTAGAATGTTGAGCAGTGAAGTGAGGCCCTTTGCCGCGTCCCTCTTTTACGTTCAATCAGTTTTTAATACAGTAATAATAATAATCAGGGTCGAGGTCCCACTCTCCGGGATACGGACTCTCCGATCACGACCTTCAGTTGGGCAGATCAACGACCAGAAACAGTGAATCTGGGTTAGTGGGAGCTTGCCCGGAGGCAGTTGGAATGTGAAGCAGCCGAACCGGAGAATCCAACAGGTTGGTTGGAAAGAAAGTTATTAGGTTCCTTTTTACGAAATAATTTCAGGCAAACTTTTCCTTCTTTCTTTTTCTTGAAAAGTTGCTCTTTTTTGTCATTTCTCGCCTCTTGGGGCGAGGTCGCATTTTCTTGGATACTTCATTTCTGACCGTACATCTCAAAGATCAACGGTCAGGAGCGAAGGATCTGGGTAAATGGGACATCGGACCAGGAGGCCAGAACCGAGTCCTATAAGCATTAATCGGCCGAAAAAAGAAAGAGGAAAAAAGGAAGGTAGCAGGAAAGAAAAAAAGTCGAATGTCCTTCGCAAAATTGGAACGATACAGAGAAGGTTAGCATGGCCCCTGCGCAAGGATGACACGCATAAATCGAGAAATGGTCCAAATTAAAAAAAAGAAAAAAAAGAAGAAAAAAAAGAAGTGGAATGTGGCACGAGGACGAGGTCCCCACTCATTGCCGGCGCCCAAGTCCCACTAGCAGCGTTGAGCTACCTCAACGCCTGAATCTGGACGTGTTTGCGGAGACGTGCAGTTCAGGAAACTCAACACCATTTCTGCACATCTCCGCAAAAGCGTCCAGATTCAGGCGTTGAGGTAGCTCAACGCTGCTAGTGGGACTTGGCCCCGCGACTTATCATCTTATCAGCTTCCGGCCGTCGGATCGCTTCGAAATTGAGGGTCAGACATGAAGAATCTGAAAAAAAAAAAGAAAGAAGAAGAAATAACGTCGGTCATGAGGCTACTACAAGAAACGACAGACAACAAAAAAAAAAGAAGAAGAGAAAGAAACGACCGACATGAACCACTTTGTTGTTCCTTCCCCCCCGCCGCCCCCAAGAAAAATGAAAAGAAGGTTGCCTTGTCCGAAATTACCCAAAAAAGAACCAAAATTTTCTGAAAATAGAAACAACAAAAGGGAAGAACGATTCCCTGCAACTTCTTCTTCTTCAGTGCAGGTGCGAATTCTAACTATTTTTGCTTTTTTTTGTTGGAAGCATGCTTATCGCTATTCTTCTTCCTTGAGATGTGATTCGTTCCAACAAATAAGAAAAAAGGAAAAACGGTTGCCTGAAATTACCAAAGAAAGAACCAAACTGTTCCAAAAATAAAGAAAAAGCAACGCACTTTCCCTGCAACTTCCTCTTCTCCATGTTCTCTTCTTGTTCTTCTTGTTCTTGTTCTTCCTGTTCTTGTTCGATCCGAGGAGAAGGCCCCTGATGAGTGCCACCAGGTGCGCTTCCTGGCTGAAACGTGCGTGGGGCAATGAGCGCGTTTCTTCTGAGCTCAGTGCATGCGGTGGAGCATGGAATTTTCTGTTGAAACATGCACGAAGGAAAGTCTATGGCCTCTGTTTATCATTCTTCTTCTTCTTCTTCCTCTTCTCTTCTCCTTCTCCTTCGTCTCCCTCTCCTCCTCCTTCTCCTTCTCCTTCCTCTTCCTCTTCTTCTTGGAGTGGCCTCAAGTAGTAGTAGATAGACAGCTGTGTCAGAGAATGCAAGAACTGCTGACGTCAATAGAAAAACGTGAATGAGAGCCGGCAAGTAGTACGCAGACAGATGTGTCCCAGACTGCCAGTCTTGTTGACGTCAACAGCGTAACGTCAGTACCAGTCATCTCCTGCGGAGCCGGCAACACACAGGAGTCACGAGAGTCCTCGTCGCTGCGATATTCTGCGAGAATAAAGCGCGTGCGTTTTATTCGAGGGAAGGAAAGAAAGATACTAGGTAGAAAAGAGGAAGGAGGAGGGGAGGAGGGGGGGGGGGGCGGGCGGTGGGAAAAGGCGGGACGAGGGGAGCGGGGAAGCGAAGAGGGAGAAGGGGGAGGGAAGGGGAGGAATGGTAGCGATGGAGTAACATGAGGAAGACGAAGGACAGAGAAAGAGGGAGAATGCGATAGTGAAGTTCGCGTGTTTTCTTCTTTCCTTTTTTTTGTTGCAATAGTATCTACTTATATTATGTCACCCTCGCGAAGGATAGAGGAGGAGGAGGAAGGAGGAGGAGGAGGAAAACGTCCGATATGTTCAACCACAGCCGAGAGGGATCGAGCATTCCCTCCTCCTCCTCCTCCTCCTGCTCTTCCAGTTCCTTCACCCCCTCCTTTCCCCCCGCCTCCGCGTCCTCTTCTGCTTCCTGCTGGCGCTCGGACGTGCTACTCGTTGGATGTGATATTATCCTCCCCGGTCCCGATCCAGACCCATGTTCGCAGTGGGAAATCCTGCCATGGGCAACAGCATGAAGTTATTGAATCTTCCTCCTCCTCCTACTCATCATCATCATCCTCATCATCATCGTCGTTGTCCTTGTTGTCGTTGTTGTCATCACCGTTGTCGTCATTATGCGCGTGCTTTCGGTTGACGTCAACAGCTTTTCCTACGACTCTTTCGTTGATCATCTGTAGCCTGCTGATCTCCATCCACATATTTGTGTACGTCATTAGAAATACTGCTCCTCTTAACTCCGGTGCCCTCTTTGCAACACTACGGCCTGAGTGGTGGTCCCAATCAGGCGACTCTTCCTCCTCCTCCTCCTCCTCCTCTTCCTTCTTCTCCACCTCCACCTCTTCCTCTTCCTCTTCCTTCTCGTCCGCGTCCTCCTCCCCGTGTTCTTCCATCCCCTCGGCCTCGTCGTTGATTCCGGTGGAAAAGGCTGGAAGCGATCGCTCCTCCTCTTGCTCGCTCTCGTCGTCGCCTTCAGCACCACCTCCGTCCTCCTCTCCTTCCTCCTTGTCGCCATCTTCCACGCCGCTGTCAGCTGGGATCAATCAGAGCGATTATACATCAGGGTCGGGGTGCGACTTGCCCCGTAAGCTGAAGGCGTGCCGTCTGCCACGTGGCAATCTTATCCACATCGTCCACGTTTCGGCCATGTGGTCCCGGGAACCTTTTATTGAGAATGAAACGGCGATCGCCGTCCGATCCATCGTGCTCTCAACACGCTGTCCCATCTTCTTCCATTTCATGATCAGCGAAAAAGAGCGGGAAAAGCTCTCAAAGATAATGACAGACAGTGGAGCACAATACATTTGCAAAACCTCCTCCTCTTCCTCTTCCTCCACCTCCTCCTTCTCCTCCTCCCCCTTCTCCGCCTCTTCCTCACCATTTTCTCCTTCTCCTCCTCCCTCTCCACACTCTCCTCCTTTAGTTTCTTCTTCTTCGTCTTCTTCCATTCGTTCCCCTCCTCTGTTCTCTTCACGACGTACGAGGAGGACAGCCATATCCGACGGACAAGCGGATCAGAGCAGCGCTATGCGCAAACAGCAGCAGCGGCAGCAGCAGCAGCAGCAGCAGGAGGAGGAGGAGGAGGAACAGGAGGAAGATGCGCAGAGTAGAAGCAGTAGAGTCCTGTTTGACTTGCACGTGATTGACCCGGATTGGCTGATGGAGAGGTCGAAGGTGATTGGGATCCCGATTCAGCATCATTCTGGCATACCGGGATACAGCAAGTTCTTCTTGCCTGATATGTTGCCAAATATAGCACGTGCTATATACATAGATGTGGATGTGCTATTCGGCGAAGACGTGCAAGAGTTATGGGAGTACTTTGGGCAAATGGATAAGGACGAAGATCTGGCTGTCCTGATGGGTAACAACTTGGCAGCTAATCGGACGGCCATCTACGCTTGTTCCTGCACACTGATCATGGACCTGGACCGTCTTCGAAGGTACAATTTCACGAACCTGCTTGTCCAAGGTCTGGCGGGAAGGAGCGCCTCTGACCTTGGGGAACTCTGGAGGCCCGGGGATCAATGGATGTGGACGTTTGTCTGCAACTCGAATACGACAAGATGTGGATTAATTCCGGATAAGTTATGGAACGTGATGGGGTGTTCAAAGCCAAAGCCCTTTTTGGGACTAGATTCAGAGCATCCTGATGCTCAGGGGAATTGCTGGAAAGCGGTGCATTTCAACTGCCTCGGAAGTAGCTACGGGATTCCTTCTCAGTTCAAAAAGGCGTACAGATTCGTCCAAAGTGCGCCGATGCGCTCATCACACCCAACAACCAGCAACAGTAGCAGGTGCAGCAGCAGGGGAAGGAGACGCAGAGACACAGGCAGAGACAGAAGGAGAGTGAGAGGGAGACGCAGGGACAGAGAAACGAGAGGAGCGAGTGTGTAATAAGCAACGCACGTGGGTAAATAATTTTAAGTACTACGGAGTGACAGTGAGGAGGCAGGTTACACACAACAGTAGGTGGACAATCTCGAGTGAATGTGGTCGTGATAGAAAGTTAGATATGTTGTCGACGAATGATGTCTTAGGACGATAAGTAACGTGTGCAGTAAATAATTTCAAGTACTAGGAGTGCCCGGGAGGACGAAGGTTTCGCATCACAGTGGGTGGACTACTTCGAGTGATGAATGTGCACATAATCGAAACCAGGTGCATGGCCGAATGATGTCTTAGGATGAGCAGCATTATGAAATGTATGTGGTCGTGATCGAAGTCAAATACGTGGCTGAATGATGCCTTAGGATGATAAGCAAGGCATACGGGTAAATAATTCAAAGTACTAGGAGTGACTGCCATGAGGAAGGTCACATCCCATAGTCTGTGCACTAACTTGACTGAATGTCGTCGGAATCGAAGATAGATGCATGGCCAAATGACGTATTATTATGAGCAGCATTATGCTATCCGCCTTTCTTTGCGTTAAGGAGAAGAGCCACACTGATCAATCAATCAAAAAAAAAAAAAAAAAAAAGGGAAAAAACTCTAGTGAATGTGGTAATAGGAAATGACCGTGCTAAAAAAAACAGGAAACATAATGGGAAAAAACTTCGAAAGAGTGAAAAAAAAAACATTCTGTAATGACCCGCCAAAACACAGACTGAGAACACTGCTGATTTCTGGGATTTGCCACTGGAATGTATGCCCTGCTGAGATTCCCGCATTCTGCTATGATTCCTAAGTCTGTGTGTGGGCATGCCTGCTGGTCTGTGTGCCTGTCTGAGTGCTTTCAGCCTGAGTGTGTGTGTGACTGTAGTTGTTGATTTGGAGGCCCCGCAGGGCTGGTACTTACCCGTGGCTGTGACTTTGAGGGTTGCAGTGGGAAAAACACTCAAGTAGCGGGGGCAGGATGGCGACACTGCCCCCGGCACTTAGAGCAGCGGGAAAAACACTCAAGTAGCAGGTAGGCCGGTCCCACTCAAGTAGCGATAGAAGTGTCAGGTACTCGAGGCCGAGCAGAAGAAGACAAGATGTTGGCATTTTTAGAGGCCCAGTAGCGGTAGGCTAGAGGTAGACCGGTATCAGTGCAAGTAGCCTGAGTCTAGGGCCTATACAGACGATATCCGAGCCTGCAATGATATTACCCTCTGAAAGGGAGGAGGTACTGGTTGCTGGGAGGCCGCACGACCTAGGAAGTCACCGCCTAAGAGGCAAGCAGCCCGCTCTATCTTTGGGAGGAGCACGTAGCTCATCCTCATTTGTGGTGTGCAAGGGTTGGCGACATACTGCTGGAGCCAAGCGCTGGACTTGGAGTGCTGTGTGGGAGGTCAACGAAGGAGCTGGGCGCTCAGCCTTGGTATGGCGAGCAGCCCAGCCAAATTGTTAAGATTATTATTTGGAAGAAGAATAAGATTGGCAAATTCAAGGAGGAGGAGGAAGGTGGAGAGAGAAGGGGGATTTGTCATGGTCTTGCTGGTGGGGGATTGTCATTGTCTTGCTGGTGTACATCTTCTTCCTCTTCTTCTTCTTCTTTCTCTCTTCTTTGGTCTCTATCTCTTTGCAAGTGCTTTCATTTCTTTTGCAACTGGGTGGCATTGTCTTTCATTGTGAATTTGCACTTTGGGAATGACCAGGATAGTAACAATTGGTATCGGAGCGGACTTACTAGCTGGCGAGAGGTGGTGAACTACCCTAACCCTGATTCCGAATTAGGTTAGGGCTAACCTTATCTCGGATTAGGGTTGAAAGTTAGGGTTAAGAGGGGCAGCGAGGTATGTGGATGCTGCCCCCACCTGGTTAGGTCATGTAGGGTCGACATCAGGCCTGACCAGGTTGCTTCAGTGATTGTATGGGGTGGCGAGACACAAAGGAGGCTGATTGAAGTGAGCGAGAGGGAGTAGAGAGTGAAAGGTACTCACACCTGGAATCTGGACTTCAGGAAGACATCGAGTGACTTATGGGCTTCCCCTCAAGAGGGAGACTTGACCGGAGGCTGCCATATCTGCATTGAAGAGCTGCAAGTTGCTACTTTGGTCTTCAACATCGACGGAGGATCCGACGTTGTAACATGGGTGTAGGAAAGCCCTCTTAGTCATGCTAGGACAGTTCGTGTAGTGGTAGCTAGGGGTCAGGAGGACGTATGAGAGATGGGGGTGAGACATTATTCCATCTTTGGAGGCCGGGCCTCACAAGTGCTGTGTGACTTGGGTATGCCCACGGGAGGTTGCTTGGTGCTTCATGGCCTGTTGGGGTGTGCTGGGCTCTTTTCCTCTTCTCGGCGGTCTTGGTTGTGTGTGTGAGCATGTGGATTGCTTTCTCACCTGAGGGATGGATGGATGATGTATCTTGTTCTCAATGACGTATTGTCTTTTCAGTCCTAGACGGCTGTAGGGTAGGTTCTTGCTGAAAGTTGTCCTTTCCTTTTCAGTACGATAGAGGCGGCTGGGACCATCTTGGGACACCCTTCTAATTGGTCTTGGTCCTCGACCTACTTTGGACCCTTCAGGACCTAGTGGGACCAGGCCCAATGGGATAGGACCCTTCCACCCCAAATCTGTTGACTGTCTGTTGCATTTCTTTGCTTTGCTGAAACTGGGGGACACACGACTAGTAGGGACATTCCTTTCAAGGGGATCTTGACTGGTCTTACTGCATGTTCTCACATACTGCCCTGCATCTGGCTCGGCGACCGTCTGCACCCCTCAAAATCTCCATTGTTACAGTTAGTTTCCTTTTGTCTGACTTATGTGTGGTACATGTTTCATGTTGGGTTAGACAAGAGGGGATCTCCGGTATGATCAGACCGGAGCCATTCGTTAAGTCAGACCTTTCTTTAAAACTTTATGTATTTATTTATTTTATTATGTTGTGTGGATGTCGTTCTCTAGTCCCAAATGAATTGCCTCTCCGACTAGGAGTTCTACCTTCTCTTTTGTGATTTTTTTTTTATTTTTTTTTATCTGAGCTATCTATGTCCATTATTGAGACGCGTGCATAGAAAGCGGAAAGAAAGAGAAGGGAGAGAGAAGGTGTTCTTTTTGAGAGTGTGAGGAAGGGGAAGAGGAGCGTTCGCCCAAACGTGAGTAAAGAGCGGACCCCTCTTGAGAGATCTACCGACAACCCATCCTTTGACATGACAGACATCTTGTCAGCCCAATGGCAGGCCATGCTGGACACAACGGATGAGAGCGAGAGACCGTTCTTTCAAAAACTTTATAAGGATGCAGTACAGAGAGAGAGGGAGGCGGAGGCAGCAGCAAAAGCAACGAGTATCGCTGGCCAGGTGACTCTTCTCGCTGTTCCGGATATTAGTGATAACCGGTTCAGAGAGATGTTAGTCGTTGTCGTAGCAGGTTAGCAGTTGTGGTTCAATTGCAAACATTGGAAGATCTTGAGTCGCACATGGCAATTCTAGAGCAGCGAAACCAAGAGTTGCAGCCTGAGATTGTAGGCCTCAAACATGCCCAACTGACTTTCTCTCGTCCTCTTAATCCTCATCCTGCTGTTGTCCTAGTCTTTCCCCCTAACATGGTCCTCATGCAGAGAGCAAGTGGAACTGTGACGAGCACAGGAACCGGTCCCCGCTCTTCAAGCTGCAACGTCGACAATTCTGCACTTGTCCCAGTCCCAAATGTAGGATCACTAGCCCAAAACGTCGCAGTTCGTACTGACGTACAATACAACGGTCCCATGGTGGACGAGAGGGCGGCCACGTTGTTGTCCAAGTACGGCGGGAAGGGGGATATTACCCCTTGGATCAGCTCCATGCGCTCATACTTCGAGGTACTGCAAATGTCGCAGAAAGATTGAAGTATGATCATGGGCGCAAATACTGAGCCTGCCGTACGGAGTTTTATTGAACTACAAGCTGTTAGTGAAGGTTATGAAAGAATTGACCTGACTGAGTGGTAGAAAGTGACTCCTGTACGTACTCGTGAGGATCTGCTCATCGCTCAGTATTAGGATAAGCACGCTGTGCTCAAAGCAAGGCCGAAACTTGAGGCCCTCAAGGGCCGAAAGTGGAGGACTTCCATGCAGGTCTTGGAACAATGTTTGACTAGTCCGTTCACTAGTCCAAATTTGGGTCATGGATGTAGTAATGGGAGTGGCCGCTGAAGATTATGTCTCCCGGCTAGGACTCAAGAAGCATACGACTTGGTGAGAGCTCTTATCGGATGAGGCCAAAGACCGTGCCAGGCGTGAGAAGACACCAGTTGCAGGGAAAACTTACGACGCAAGCGGTTCGGAAGCGGCAACCAGCTTGCCATGCATGAACATCGGGAGGCTAAGGACCAGTCTTATGCGGATGATCTATCTCTAGATGATGACCTAGAGCCAGACTCCGAAGTGGGCTGTTCTACATCAGGCCTTGAGTCTGACATGAATGGTAAAGAAAACTGTAATGCCTTGGGAAAGACTGCTTCAGGCAAGGGGCCTAACCGGATTTCACGTAAGGGAACCATGACACACCTCCCCAAGAATGCAAAGATTCATGAGAAGTCGGAGGATGTTTCCACCAAGCCTTGGGAAGCCCTCCGCGTTAGTCAAAGAGAATGGGAAAGAAGACCCAAGCTGAGAGCATGCTTGCATTGTGAAAAGGTTGGGCACGTTGTGCAGGATTGTTACCGTTTGCAGGGAAACAGGCAAAGGGTGTATAAGAGTTATCAACACTCTCTGCAACAAGAGAAGCTGAACATTCAGCTGCAGGCCCCTCCATGGAAACTGAATCCAATAAAGAACTTGCTCTTGAAGCCCGAACCGATGCTGAATCCCAGTCCGCTGCAGTCCAAGTACTTTACAGTGAGCCTTGGGAGGAGACTAAGGAAGCCAACTTTCATTCTCACTTGGAACACTGGCTACAGCTCAAGCAGCAACGACGTGTTCAAGGGAGTGTGGAGCTGATCTTCTTTAAGCTGCTCATCAACCGCCGATACATTCACGTCTTGATTGATAATGGCTCCACAACTAACTTCTTTTCTCCTAACGAGATTCGTAAGGCGGACCTGGAAATGAAGAAAGTGGAATTGCAGAACGCTTGTCAGACCCAGGTAGGCAACCAAAAGGTTGTCACCTCAACACATGCTATCAAAGGTGTGCGCGTCACCTTTGACAAAGATCGCACATGAGTTGAATTTCTATATCCTCGACAAGTATCCCTTCCACGAAGGCAGTGGTTTGGGTTGGCTAAAGGCCAATTGTCTAAGGACCACGTGGGCGGATACTCAGCTCGTGATTTGTGACGCCAAGGGGAACGAGCATACCGACGTGTTGGATGAGGCGCGTGAGTCCCCAATGACTCTTTTGAGTGTGAACAAATTCTGCAGATCAGTGCGCACGCGCAAAGAAGGTGAGTATGTGCATGTAGCCTTTGTAAAGCCTATCCATGTGCCTTCTACTTTTGCTGCGTTTTCTACATCGGAAAATAACTTTACTTCTACTCCATCTACTTTTGTTCTATCTACTTCTAATCCAACTACTTTAAATTCGGTTGTTATTGCTGTAAATTATCAAACTGATTTTCTCTCTCCTGATGCAGATAATCCTCCACCGGAAGTCCCAACAAACATTTGCCGTCTACTAGATCGTTTTCAGGAAGTGTTGGCTGAACCTCTCGGAGTACCTGAGAGTTCGGTCAAACACAAGATCGAGATAGTAAAAGAGAGTGTTCCTCCAAAGGGCTGCGTCTACCGTATGGGGGAACGCGAGTTGGAGGAGCTGAGAAGACAAATTGATGACATGATTGATTGTGGATGGATTAGGCCTAGTGAGTCCGAGTTCGGTGCACCTGTCCTATTTGTGTCGAAGAAAGGAGGAAAACTTCGAATGTGCATCGACTATCGTGGACTAAACTGTATCACTAGAAAGAACGCTTATCCCTCGCCACGCATTGATGATTTGCTGGATGCTGCAGGTGGGTGCAAGGTCTTCTCCAAGATCGACCTCAAGTTTGGCTACCAGCAGACTGAAGTTGATTCGATCGACCAGGACAAAACTGCGTTCAAGACACGAGATGGGCTGTACGGATTTATTGTTATGCCCTTCGGTCTCACGAATGCACCAGCCACATTTCATTGCCTCATGGACAAGGTTCTCAACCATTAGCTCAACAGGTTTATTCTCGTTTACGTTGATGACATCCTGATTTTTAGCAAGTCCATGGAAGAGCCCATCAAACACCTTGAGGAAGTTTTGCATGTTCTCAAGGAGGCGAAGCTGCACCTCAACTTTGAGTTTGGAAGGGACACCGTTTGTCTTGAAACGGCCTTGAGCCGGAGGCACCGGTTGTCTGCAAACGGCTTTGAGCCGGAGGCAACGTCATCTATTTGAGGTCATACGAAAGTGGCCTCAACCGGCGAATGTACGTGAAATGCGTTCCGTTCTCGATTTGGCTTCGTATTACCAAAAGTTTGTACCCAAATTTTATGTCATTGCTCACCCACTCTCAAGACTAACAAGCAAAAATGTCACTTATGTGTGGTGTGAAAAATGCGAGATTGTGTTTCAAGCTTTGAAAAAAGCTTTAGTAAGTCATTCTGTGCTCCGCATTCCGGATCCCAACCTCACATTTGTGGTCACTACGGATTGACGAGTGCTGCAACAAGATGATGGCGATGGCCTGCGTCCGCTCGAATTACAACCAACGCATGCCCAGCCACAAGGTAGCTACCTCCATATATATGCGTGAGCTCTATGCCTTGCAAGAGGCGCTAGCGCATTGGAAGCACTACCTCTTGGGTCGTCACTTCAAGGTTTACTTAGATCATTAGACCTTGCAGTGGATCAAATCGCAAACTGAGGAGGAGAAAGAGGAAGGAGAAAGAGGAAGGAGGAAGGAGAGACGAGGAAGAAGAACAAAGCCATAACCAAGGTGGGCAAAGAAGAAGAGAGAAGGGGAAAGGAGAGAGAGAGAGGTTGGCGAAGGAGAAGGGTCGGCAGCCATAGCCAAAGGTTGAAGCTTTGACCGAGAAGGTTTGACCAAGAGGTTTGACCAAGTTGACCGGCAGTTGACCAGCGGTGACCGGAGGCCGTTGACCAAGTATTTGACCAAGCTGGAGCTAGTATAATATCGCCAAGCCTCAAGCCTACCCCTTCGCCCTATGGATGTGCACATACCCCTTGGTACTTTATGAGTCCGTCTGTCTCTTCTTTCTGCATTTAGTTACTTCTATTTAAGTCGATAGGACTCCATGCATGTGGTAATAGAGCTGCGTTGACCAAACATGGGCTGAGTAGGGCTTGAGTCCATGTCTGACGATTGACACGTTCCGGAGGCCTAACCCTCTCAAGGACCAGTACAGACCGACAGGCTGCTCTGTGTGGCATGGTAGGCCCAAAATCCGAGTTGTAGGCTGCACAACCAGCTGTCTAAGTCTTGAGAGAGCTATGCTGATCACGTCGTCTTGACTGCGACATTAAAGAATTCCTGAGGAGTTATGGGGGATCTCCTTAAATGGCTCCTGATCAGCAACAGAGTTCTGTAGTGACAACCTAGAAGTAGGCCAGGCTAGAGCCCCTAGTTGACAAGATCTGACCTAGAGAGAAAGCCAGGTGGGATTGATTGCTGATGCATGGTGCACCGAGATCTGGAAAGTTTCGGTGACAGTGGTGGCGAAAACTTCCGTCAGTTGTGGTAACCTGGCTAGATCAAACGAGAGGATTATGTGGTCCATAGAGAGTCAGTGAGTCAGTCAATGGGTGAAAGTCAAAGTGGTGAGGAGTGGAACTTTCACTGGTTGTGCATATTTCACCGTGGTGACCACGTGTATAGGAACGAGCACCACCCCATATAGCAAAGCTCAAGAAGAGCAAGCCGCCACCCTGCTAAAAGAGAGAAAAGAGAAGATGGAGAAGAAAGAGCTCATAAAGCAGGCAAAGATGCTGGTCTTGATGGAAGAGTAGAAGGCCAAGAAGAAACAAATGGAGTAGGAGATGGAGAAATGGAAGAAAGAGCAGGAGGAGAAATT